AGATTACAAGTTGTTCTCACATTTTTCTAGTTATTTCGAAAGCCTCACACAATTACCCTTCTAGTACTATATCCCATCGACTAATACATAGGAAAAATTTCATGAGCGAAGAAAAACAGACAATGCTATTCATTCTTTTTCACATAATATGAAAAAAATCTACAACATCAGACTTGCTAAGGGCACTGTAAAGAATGTCTGCCGTCAATCAGCGCTCAAGGTAGAAAAATAAATTCATAGTGTGTAATTGAGAAAATGCCATTATTTGTTTGTTGTTCTTCTTCGAGTCGAATAATCGAAAGGGGTAGCAGTCGCAGCACATAGCATGGAAACATGATGAGAATATATGAATTACAAAGCGTATTGACGTTTTCCTAGTTATTTCGAAAAAATTACACAATAACACTTTTGGTGGCAAATATCGTCGAATAATACATAAATGATATGCAATGGGAGAGCTTTTTTTTTCTTTCAACTTTTCTGAAAACACTCAACTGTTTCTTCTTGCACATCGCAGAAGAATTCATCGATGAGTAGAAAAAAAAAAAATGTTATTCATTGTCTTTTACATTTTTTTTAGAGAAGCCACAACAGCAGTCTTCTCAGAGAACACCGCATCTGGAAACGTTTCTATTGGGTGAATTCGTACGAACAACATTTCTATGCTGACATTGACTTCGATAAGTAAAGAGAGTATGTAGGTTATAACAGTTCGAGATTTGATTCTTTTATGGAAGATTCATCCAGTAATATGCTTCAACAAAACTATAGATGTTCCTAGTGGAATTGAGCGAGCCCTATGCGAGGGTGAAAAAAATTGTTCGATAACACGTCTTGCTACCAAGAAACTGTTTCGTCTCTTTTCATTAGTGTACCTTTTTAGGGGTTATGTAGGGTTTCTTGGTGTAGCAATGTGTTATGAGTGAACTAAAAATGTCAATAAGAAAAGCACTTATCTTTAGAGTATGATTTTTGTCCTTGAAAATTGTCTTTATATTACGGCATTTTTGTCGGAGCTTTTTCACGGTCTATGCTTTCTTTTTAGTCATATATCGTTTAAGTGGTTAAAGTATTTGCAACAAGAAACTTTTTGTGCGGTATTCCGAAAATTCATTCGAAGATGCTTTCTTTTGATTGTTGAAAACGATCAGATAATTTCATTTTATAAGGCTTCGTTATCAGTTCAATACTCAATAGTCTTGTTAAGAAACGCTCGATTATCAACTGTGAAGCTAGAATAATATGACTCGTCTGTATGGTGGCGCGTTGCACACATCACAGTAGTTGCTTCATTTTATGGCATTTGAAAGTCATTTTTCCTAGTCAACTATGGGTTCAAAACTGAAATAGTATTGCAGAAAGAAGTTGGGTATGAAATTGAAATTCATTTAATGATTGCATTAGGACAATTAGAAAAACAGTTTATCTGATGTAATGTTGATTTCAGGTATATAAAATCTATTCGTTGTACATATTCGAACTGAATTTATTGTGAGATAAGTTGCATCTAGTTTTCCACTAGTTAACTACTATTGATATTTTGTAAAAACTATGGATTCTCATGTCATTAGTGGAAAACAAAGCAATATTTTGCTGTATGAGAAGATCTTTAATATTTCAATTTCGACAGCATGCAGCTGCTACTTTTGAAGCGAAGTCATTTCGACCAATCACTTTCTCTCTTCGGTTTTTTGAGCGCCTTTGCATAGTGGACTGATTATGTAAAAAAATTTAGCATATACTTAAAATTTAATTCCGTTAACTGTAGCCCATTATGTCTCAAGATATAGCATAAAAACACTTTTTAATTAGCCCTTTCTACTTCCTGAGAATAATGTTCATAGACATACAATGCTGTGCAACCACCTTTCATTTTGCAGGGTGTAGCTGGGACGTGTGAATGCGGTTGTGAGAGTGGGCGTTGCTTTTTTACGACACATATTCACTCAGACCCAAATCCCACCCACACCCTCCTATCTAAAAACAGTTGTATTGTCATGGTATATTTTCTAATGAATGTGTCTATATCTACTTATTCGAAAAAAATATAAGCAGATGGTTAAAGTGTTGCGCTGAGTGTGGATGTGGATGGGTGTTACGGTGAAAAGAAGACCCTCCCATACAGAAAAATTACCCATCGTTATGGATCTGTTCGATAGAGAATCGTTGAATTCGATGATTTCCGCAATCGACTACATAGAGATTGCCATAATGATCTAAGTCCAAACTCGTAGGACCTTGAAGCTAATTTGCTAATTTTTCTTCACTATTACCACCCACAATCACGGTGTCTTGCTTCTCTCCCTTAGACCAACGCATCACTCGATAATTCCGACCATCTGCCACATAGAGTGTACCCAACGTATCGACAAACAGTCTTTCAGGACATGAATATTGTGTCATAGTCTGCTCTTCACATTAGCCTCCAGCGACAACGATACCTTCTTTTGCACCTTGACTCCATTTCATCCCACGTCTGTTTTCGTTGTCTGTCATGTACACAGTTTGTTTTCGATAGACAAAGAGATGGATAGGTCAGTTCAGTTGATTCAGACCATTACCTTTACCGTAGCTGCCGACTACGACAGTCTTATTTTTGTTTCCTATTTAATAATGTCTTACTTCATGTGCTGTTGCGTGTCCTCTCATTTGCGAACATAAAATGGAAATTAAAAATCTCTTATATAAAATTTCAGTTGTTTTTTAAATTTAATTTATTCAAATTTAAAATAATCTTAGGTCTTAAATTTTTGGTTTTCAGATTTAAAAAAATTTACTGATAACAATTTTAAAACAAATTAAAATTTCAATTATATTTTTAAACTTGTTGAAATTTATAGAGTTCGCTAAAGATTGAGTTTCATTATTTCAATTTAATGAGCTGTAATTTGTAGAGTGCGCTAAAATATAGCAGTGCCTTTTTTATTCTTAATTGACTGCAATTTATTGATTTCGTCAGACATAATTGTTACTATTAATGTCATCAGCTGTTTTTGATTTTGAACAGACTATATAATTATGATAGTAAAATGGAATCGAACATTAAAAGGAGATCACTGATTGGGGTGCAAAAGCATTTATAGACACAAATCATAAATACAAAAAATGATGTTCTAAAAAAGATGGCTCAGAAATATAGATGTTAATGAGCGTCTTCTCCTAACGAACACAGTTCGATTCATCCACACCACAGTCAGAACAAATGTCAAATTATTACAACAAGTTATGATACAATCTTCTTAAAAACTCGCCTTGTCTTGAACTGAAATCGTTCTTAGTTCAACCAAAATCGACGACCCTTGCTCGTGCACTATAAGTATTAGTTTATCAATAACAAAGGAAAAAAAACTGCTAGTACATTCTATTTTTGACTTCCATTAAAATTCTTCGGAGCTAGTTTCAAAGAAAACTTTTAATTCAACAAAAACCTAACGTCCTCTAAAAATTACAGCAATGACACTAAATTTAAAAAATTTCTCTGATCAAAAACTTACGTCCTCTACAAATTGCTATAAATATCAAAAACTCTCGGTTATCAGAAACTTGCGCCTTCTACAAATTGCAGCATGCTTCGTAAAAAAAAATAAATTTTTATAAAAATCTTTTAAAACAATTTACTTTCAATATTCGTTCACAGTAATTGAGTTTTTAAAAGTTAAATATAAATTTTAATCGTTTTACAAAAATTGATAAAATTATCAAATTTAAATCAAACGAAATTTTAAAAATTTTAACTTACTCAAAATTTATTTTCTTTATGTTCGCAAATGAGAGATAGCCTGTTTTAGATCTCCTTTATTTATATGTTAACAATAAACCAATAAAATTTTCTGTTGCATATTTTTCCTCAATTTCGAATTAATATTATAAATACTGGTATTATTTCTGTGTACCAAATATTTCAATAGAGCTTCTCAAGTGTTTATGAGATTTCACGAGTTTTCATATTATTGGGTGTGGGTGTGGATGTACGTATATAGAAGACTCACTTGCACCGCTACTCCAAACTTGCATCCACACCATCTCCTATCGTAAATTAGTTGGCGATTCCCATTCTAATCGATCAAAGTGCCACAAAAAGGATCTCATAGATATAATATTGTATTGAGATGATTGCATATCGTCATTTTGAAGGACAATGTTCATATCTGAAAATCTCTTGCTGTTCAGGATTTCAATTTTTTATCAGTGTCTCTATGCACAAAATGATGTGAAGGACACATAACTCTTATAATAAAAATGGTGGTGATTGGCCCATTTTCAAAAACAATCGATTTAGAAGCACGATTATGACATGAGTAATGATATTTCGATGGTCGTCGATAAATTAGAGCAATATCTGTTATCGATTCTAAAATTGCTTATTGATTAGAGAAACGCTAAGATTTCTCAAATCGAAAGTGAAGCTAATGGTTTTCGATTTTCCTACATACTTCTTAAGATTCAAAACTAAAACCACATTTATTTTTCGTAAGAGTGTTTAATGGATAATTGACTTTTGACATTTTTCAGATCAAGTATTTTCTGGATCAGAAAATTTCTCGATATTTTAGTTGCTAACTTTATATACAACAAGGATCATTCGATCAATAGTCTTGATAAAGTGAACATGTTATGTTTATCAGTACAATATTTGACTCATGTGGAATCATGTGCTTGTTCTAGTATTATAATAAGAATTATGAAACATGTCTATAAAACTCGAAATAAAAGGACTTAATTTGAGCTTATATTTAATACAATGAAGGATAATAATCAATCGAAAAAAAGCAGCGATTAATCATCTCTTGTTCAGCAATATTGATGGTATAAGTGCGTAATCAACTATTTTTGTTACTGAGATAAAATTGTTATTATACTGTGAAGTGATGCATTTCTTGTTCTTTGGTAATTATTTTGAGCACGTTTCGTACGTAATATGAGATGTTCTATATCAATCAGTGCGATGACCTTTGATCCTATTCATTTATGTCGAGATTTCAAATGAAAATGATTTAATCATGTTTTTATCCCGAATAAGTCGATTTGGAACTATATTTTGTTTCAATGCTCGTCGTATTAAATCTTCGTCATTATGCGTTGATTCAGCATTCATTCGACGTTTTCAATTTTGTTTTAAGACCGTTTTAGCATTTATTATTAGTGGATTTATTGCCTATGGAACTCGATTACGTTATCAATTAGATCAACAATATATCATATGTGTGATCAGTGTTATATCAATACAAGAAACAGTTGGATTGACATTATATTCAAATATTCAAACAATAATTTCCATTGTTCCTCTTTCTATTATTCTTTTTATTATTCACATGATTGGTCTTTCCTATGGACAGTATTTAGCAGCTGAACTTCTATTACTTCTATTATCATTTCTTATTGCTTATCAATGTACACAAGTAAATATTTTTTTCATCATTGAAGTAAATCAATAGGCTTGTTTTCAATAGATTCAAACACGAAAAATAGCTTTGTTATACAATATAATCTTTTTTTCTACGATTGCTAATGAGAAAAAACTGCCAATATTATTTGTTTTTTTATTATTGGAAGTATTTCTTATCGGAATCAGTATATCAATAGCTGTTTCTTTATTGGTATTCCCATTATTTGCTACCATTGATATTGAAAATCGTTTTAATTTTTGTTTACGCTATTTTCAACGTATGTATTATCTTATCATTCAAGCTTTTTTATCGCCAGATCCAATGGCTGCTAAAGTCTCACTTTCACGTGCATCAATTATTGAAGGCATAATTCGTCAAACACTGATTGTCATTCAAACAAGACTAGTGGAAGCAAAATATGAACCATCAAGCTTAATACAACGAATATTTTTTCGAAAACGAAAACATATGATTGATCTTAATATTCAAGGTTTGTCGATCAAATTTGCATTAAGTCTTTCATAATGTTTTCTTTAGAACAAGCCAATTTATTAAGCTCACTGATGTTTCATGTATCATCTCTTCAATTAATGGTCAATAAATGTCAATTTAATGAATATCATCATACTTTAAGATGTGAACTTGAATCCAGTCTTATTTACCTTAATTCATGTCAATCAAGTCTTATTTCATCTTTTACATCAACTCTGTCAGTATCTAAAGATAGATTTATTTATCGTTTAACTAATCTTCATGCATCTGTGGATTTCGTTCGTTCATCCTATAAGAAAATTCGTCTTAATCAAATGAAAAATATTCTTCAATCAGACGATCATCTTTCACATGCTTTCTTTCTTTTTCAATTATTCACTATTGTGAAATTATTAATCGAATCAACAAGCGATTATTCCAAGAAAGACATTCTAAAAGAAAAGAAAACATCTTGTTTGAATTTATGTTTTCAATTTCAATGGTCAAGGATTTTACTATCGATTAAAAGTATGATTATTATTGGAGTTGGTTCCATCTTCGTCATGGTTCCATATTTAGCAAAGATATTTGAAAATGGACAATGGATATTAATTGCTCTCTGTATGACACAAGCGGATACTGTTGGAGGAGCACTTACAATGATGAACATGAGACTAATTGGAACTCTCTTAGGTAAAAGTTTTTCCAATAAGAGTGAAAAAAAGAGTATATGTTCCCTTGTTTCGTATAGGCGCCATGTGGTCTTATATAACCTATTTATTGGTTCGTGATAATATATTTGAAACATTTGTCATGCTAATTCCCTGGATATTTTTATTTGGATATTTAAGATTATTTCCCAAATGGGGTTATACGGCCGCAGTCGCTCTACTCACCCCGATTCTTATCAATTTAGGTCGATTGCCCTATGGAGATGCCTTACCAGCAGGAAACTATGCATTACTTCGAATTGAAGAAAATTTTGTTGGAATTGCAATTGCCAGTGTTCTAACATTGATTATCTTCCCTGTATTTGCCATTGATTTATTGAAAGAAAATATTCAAAGTAAAATGAAAAGAAAAAGTATTTCAAATATTTGTTGATAATTTTAGAAAGTTTCGATTCATGCAAAGATAGTATCAATTCCATGCATAAACTATATGATGAATTATTTCATCATCAACATATGGAAAACGAGATTTCAATTGACTTTGAAAATATTAATGAAATCAAATCATTTCTTGATGAACAACGATATCACTTTCATCAATTAATTAGTAGTCAACGAATGTTAGTGACAACTGTATCTATGGAACCAACATTCTGCTGGTTTAAAAATCCTTTTTCTTCGTCTCATTATAATTTAATAGTTCAACAACAAATGGATATATTTAGAATGTTACATAATATTGATGTGGCAGTAAGTTCAATACGTTGAATCGAATACAAATTCTATTTTCTTTTTCTGTTTAAAGTTAATATGTCTGAGTGAATGTGCAATAAAGAATGAAAAAGAATTAGAGGGAGTGAAATTTCATGCCGCAAATGGTCTTTTTCTTCCAAATGTTCATAATGAATTATTTTATATAAGTAAACAATTAAATGATTGTTTACAACTTTGGTCAACTTATTTTAATGTTACACAAACGTGTTGTCATCAATTAACTCGTGGTTTAATACCACATCGAACAAAATTGAATCAACAAGATTTATTCGAATATGAAAAATATCTTAGTCAATTACATAAAACCATAGATCGACTGGAAAATGAACATCAGCAAGGAATCAATCGTTTATTTGATCATTATTTTCAGCGATTCAATCAAGGAGAACAGTCTATTCCATTTGTTCCATTTGCCCAAAATGAACATGCTGATTCCATTCTTCTTGCCCTATCAGCGATGTATTATTCAAGCACACAACTAGCTCATGCAGCATTAGGTTTAGGTACAACCGTTCGTGAGGTTTTTGAACTTGAAACTACGAATTTATATCAATCTTTTTAAATAAAATGAAGGATCTTGCACTGTTACTCAGACAAGTTTCAGGTGAAGACGCTCTTCCCAATAACATTCATCCTCATTCTTTCAGAAGTTGACGTGATCTCATGTTGAAAGACAACATTCAATATTTTACTACTATAGACAACTATAAAATCAAATGAAGAACGACAAAATCCAAGATTATTCCAATATGAGAATCTACAGAATCTCATAGAGAATGAGATCTTATCCGATGAAATTCCATCGTTTTCCGAGACAGCACTTCGCTATAGGGGAATTGTCGATTCTTTCATCGGAAATGGTGGTTTCTTCCAACAACCTCTAGTATTGATCATCGAGTTTTGTCGAATCCCATATGGTTCAACTGTAACATTATTCGATTCAGGATCTTATCGATTGTATATATTGTCAGTAAACAGATGTAGTTGAGTTAATTTCCAAGGATGACATTTAAATATGATGACCCAGATAAATATTTCAAAATGAATATGATAGACTCTTTCAAAAAATCAAATCCATTACTATTCTGAAGAGGTTTTCCACAGAAATATTCATGTTTTTCATTAATCTCTTGGCATCGTTTATGAACTTCGTGAATTGAGCTAAGTTCAACGGGCCTTTCCTGTTGCCGATTTAGTAATGATCAGATGTCATTTCTGTCCTGTCTTGATCATAGTACTGTGAGCGATGTTTTCGTTTGTTAGATATCGTTCAAAATGCGCTTGGAAGACTATCTTTCTTTTCTTTATTTTGCAATATGCCAACACTGTTCAATTGATAAATGTTTTATCTATAATAAGCACATTGTCAGCTTTTTTCTTCTACTCCTATTTTAACATGACCTTTGGCAAATATCACAAGAAAATATCTCTGCCGAGGGACTTTTTTGAATGTTCCCTTGTATCTTCACATTAAAGAGCTTTTACTGTAGCCATTAAAATTGATTTCACAGACTTGTTGGACTTTCTACGAAGATTAATTAATTCTCTTCTATTATTATTATGATATTCACTGAAAAAAATCAGACAGACCTCTACAGATAAGTTGGGCCTCTCTTTCTAACGTTCCACAAGTGATCGACCTGTGTTGCACAATGACTTCATCCAGTGGGATTTTTTCGTGGAGTTTGGGTAATTTTCCTAGCCAACCTTAGATCAATAGTCTTAATCGTGCGATTAGATCGTTATTTATTTATTTACATAACTTAGCGTCTTGACAAAAGAGCCAAGTGGCTCGTATTATTTCTTTAAAGCTTCTCCCAAGATATTCTCAAATCAATAAAAAGAGAAGTGGTATATTGCAAACGTCCATGTATTCAATTATTTTTTCTTCGAGTCAACATTGACTTGATTTGTGGATTACTTTAACCGTCAATGTTCTGATCTTTGTTGCGAACATCAAGGAGCATAGTTCTCACGCATATATAAAATGTTTAAGACATAGATTAAAATTTGAGGCTAAGAGAAGAAAACAATCAATTTGCATTTTGATCAGTGTTAGAACCTACTTTTCTGTCTCTTCTCATTCGTTCGTACCCTAGAGAATATACTGAGTTAAGGGTACCCAAAAAAGTACCCTGATACCAGTATGTCACAGGAACTTTTGGGTACCAAAGTACTTGCAGGTACTTATAGGTACCTAAGTGGTACTTTGGCAAGTACCCTGCTGGAAAATGCACAGTAATTGGGTACCTAAAGGTACTGATCAAGTACTGAATTGGGTACCATTGTATAGTATTTCTAAGTACCCTGTTACCAACTTTTCAGTATGTTCAGGATCGAACCTGATCTTTGACTTTTTAAAATTATTTTTTGTTTTTCTTGAGATAATTTACTAGATTTTTTTAAATTTATTCAATTTAATTTTTTCAATTCCAAAAACTTAGCAGGGACAATGTCGGGATCCGACTCAACTTGAGTTGGTTGTACACCACTTCAGGGTAGTTCGATCTTAATTTACGACCAAGCTCGGCATTTCCTCGACTAAGAAATAGTCAAGAAATAATTTTGAAAAAAGTAGTATGAAAATTGATTATTTCCTTATGATTTATCGAGTTGTTTATATAGAGCCGTATGTAAAAAAGAAAACGGTGAATGAATAGTCGCCACACAGAACGCGAAAAATTTAGGATACCCTGTCGAGATTTCCTCAGTAAAGTTACAGACTTGTGTATCCATGCAGGTACTTATTCAGTGAATGTACATTTACGGGTATCCCAAACAGTACATACATCAGTAAAATTACTGAGAATTTTCAAAGTACCCATATTGGGTACCCTGCTAGAGCTTTCTCAGTACATGGGTACCCTGAACTCAGTACTTTCTCTAGGGTATTGTGTAAGACATATACAATCAGCAAAAACCACCGGTAATTTGTACATGATTTCGGTCGCTACTTATATAAAATAAAAATAGATGTCACGCGTGGCTTGAAGTCAGAATGAAACTATCTCTAAGGAACAGAACGTTGTGAAATAGAGTTAGTCTAAGCAGTATGTGGCAAGAAACGGCGATTTTTCGCTGTCAGGTCAACTTTTTCCAAACCTTCAGCTCTTTGAACTGATGAGGTTGTGATAAAATTTTTGTTACAATTATTTGCTAATTTGGAAGATAAGTAGTAAAGTCTTGTTTCAGTTTTGATTTTACGAATGCTATATGCTGACTAATTAGAACAATTTTTGGATCTGATGAAAAGAGAGTCTTTCGAAAGATGAGAGCAGCCTTCTCAAACAGAGAAAGTGCTTATTTGTAGTCATCTTTATCGCTGCAGGCACGACCTAAGTAGAAGGCAATCATAGCTATGCAGATGGATGATCGGCTGGTAATGAGATTAGTTTTATTGTTAACGCACGTTCGTATTATTCAACAGCAAGATCGAATTGACGCAATTGATGATAAAGTCCAGCAATATTATGATGAGATGAAGCTAAATCCAGATGATTAGTGAGAAGAAGCTTCGCACTAATCGCCAAATCTTTCCGAAAATGGTCAAGAGCTTTTTCATATTTCTTCTCTAGGGTGTGGATGGATGACAAACAAATAAACACCTATACCCACACCCACCCCCAGTCATTATAATAGTAATCCACTTAGCCAATTTTTAGTCATGTGTTCGATAGAGAGTTGGAACATATACATTTTCTTTTTTTCGAAAGCCAAAGGAAGTAAAAAAAAATATTATTACGCAAACATTAAGTATATTCCGTTTTGCCGTTTGAATGAGGGAAGTCGCTGTAAGTAGAAACCATATCAAAAAAATTCCTTGAAAACCGAATGATAAACACAATTCAGAAGATAAGTAGAAAAAAATTGTATCACATGTAAGTGATGCTTCAATAAATATGCGATGTATCAGATTGCTGATTGAGAGAAGTATCAAATAGACAGCAAGATTGATTAAACATACGGACAGGCAAAAACATGTTTGAATGATGTGTCGAGAAAATAAGAATCTGTAAAGAATAGAGACAAGAATATCAATTTGCGTAGTTAGTAAATTATTGATAATGGAGGCTGCAATAATTGATTGAAACAAAACATTAATAAATATTCCGTAGTATTGAGCCAATCTACAGTTAAACTATGATATTTGCCTGTTGTAAAATATCTGTACAGGATGTTGTAGTTTCCAATTTAATTGCGTATGTTGTAGTCTCTGTCTCTTCTTTAACATGTGTATATACAGATCTACCAGCAAAAAACAAAAAATGCCGCAACACTACTCTCTTCAAGGATTACCGGCATAAAAATCTTCTGTTCTATGTTTTATTAGTAACAATATATGTTTTTTTGCTGCATTTATTTGCGTCACCATATTGGTTCTACTGTGCCATGAATAACAAGGCCGAAGAAAGAAAAAAAAGGAAGTAGGTCTCATGGTATTGATAATACACTTGGTGTTCTCTTACTATTTTAACAATACGTTTGCCAAAATACTCTTTTACCGTCCATAAAATGATTAACGCATTTAAAGAAAATGCTTCGAAATAGAATGGATGCTTTTTTTGCATATCTTAGGTTAGATGAAACTATCTATGTATTTACGTTGAGTCGAAAACTTATCGTACACTAAAGTCAATATAAGAACTACTATCCATTTCAAAATAAAAGAGGCATTTAGTGTGAGTAGAATAGCTGGAGAACGCGACCGATCAAAGTTCTGCAGTTTTCTGTATTCGAGAGACACATGCGAGATAAGTAAATCATGTGTGTGGGTCTGGATCTGATTATAGATGAAGAGAAGATTCCCATTCACATCTACGTTCACTTACACTCCATAAGCGATCTCATTTGTTTATTTTTATATTTGGAGTAGAGGCTTTTTAACTGGTACTGTATTTTTTTTTGTTTGCTCTGCCGGGTACAAATGGCATGGGTGTGGATGTGGTGTGGGTAAACTCTTAATATCTACACTCATCCCAGCATCCACACCCACATCTTTTCATGATAGAAGAACGTCTGAATAATGAAAAAAACCGATTATCACTGTAGGTTCTTGACTCATTCACCGACTTCATTGGCCTTTAATGCTTGTCACCCATCTTATATTATGCGATGCACAAATACATCCAAATGCATTCGATACTTAAAGCGAGCACGCGCCTATGAGCGTACTATTATTGTTATAGTCATCAGTGACATTAGCGAAGTGGATATTTCACGATTCAATAAGTACCAGCAAATACAATCTATTTTTATTGTTTTTCCTGGCCAAAATAAGATTGATGATAGTCAAGACGAAATTCTTAAGCAAACTTATATATTTAGTGATCATCAATCAATGTTTATCAAACTGCAACAGTTGAAGAATGATAAATAACAAACCCATGTTAACGGCATGTTGATCCTGTTAGATCCAAAGGGGAAGTTCCTACGAGATGTTCGTCAACACCTTGGCCCATTTGTGTGAAGTTCCTCGTACATAGGTCTGTTTTCATGATGTATTAGACACATTTTATCGGCTGCTTATACTTCAAATGCCGAGCACTGCACTTTCTTATCATTTTTCTGTAAAAAAAAACTTTGTTAGTGCAGATGTGTATTGATTTAGTGTATCCGGTATCATCACTTACAAAGTTATAGTTTGAATCAGTGGCTTATATCCTTCTGAAAACAGATACCACTAAAAAACTCAACAAGAACGATTAACCTTAAATCTAAACCGAAGAAAGTCTCCTTTGAAGGAAAAAGACGAGATGATTACACATTGTTTCTTTCAACAAAATTTTGAGATACTTAAAGTGGAGCATTATAACGAACAGCTTTGAACATGTTCACATCCTAGGTTTTAAAGAATCTTCCAGTTGCACTTTCGAGAGATGTCGGTTCATACACGAAATAATAAACAGTATTGGTTACATTTTTTTGTTGAATTAACTAGCCTTCCAGTGTAAGCTACGTTTGTTATGGATATGATGAAAATTAGGTGTGTGATTGTGGCTACACATATCAAATTGATGAAAGAAACACTCATACCCATCTTTTTTTCTAAAATCAATTTTGCTATTCGGATTAATTTTAACTTTGAGTTACGTTGGTCAGGAAATACTGTAAGTACTGATATTTTTTAGCCAAAACTGTCATTCCAGTAATATAATATGCCTTCATGAGATGCTTTGTTCCAACTACATTTAAAATTTGATGTGAAAACTCTCATGCTTGTGCAAAGAGCTATAATGCTCTGAAAAATAACGAAAATGTTTTCTCGTATTATTGCCTAGACGTGCGCAATATACTGCAATGATGAACTGCTGAAATTTTTTTATTAGATTTTATGGATGATTAGCCTTCGGTGTATTATGCTACCAAGACTTAACCCAAAAATGTGATATCTCTACCGAAGATAAAACAAGCTGTGACCTTTAGATTCTGGCATAAAAAATCTTATTTTGTTTTCATTTTCGAGGCAAATAAGGCTTGGGATGGTGGATGAACAAAACTACCAAATTAGCTTAAAAGAAAAAAAGATTGTCACAATAATCTTTTTTCATGGTTGCATTTTGAGCATTAAATTTTGTCATAAAAATAATCAGTTTGACTAACTCTTTCATACTCTAGATGAGATTTGAGAACTCAGCACTAAAAATGCGATGAGCAACTTTTTCTGAAGTTATAATTCTTCCTTCTTTCAACTTTCACCACAATTTACTGACATAGCTAGCATCCAATGAAATTTCAGTTCTGGAATAGCTTAATAGCTACAACAAGAAGAACGTGTATGCTTTTATTCCGGCACTTCATGTATTCACACATATCCAAGGGGCTGATGACGTACTCCAACTAGACTCCGTGGACTCCTGTAGTACATGAGGTACAGACGGGAACGGCATAGTCTTGTACTTCCTGAACTTCCAGTGGACTCTATCTACTCTAGAAGTACCAGAATACGTCGTCTCTCCCTTGCATTTCTCCCTTTAATCATTCTATAATCTGTGGACATCATTGTTCCAAACATCGGTTTGCTTTAAAAGAAGAAAATTTTGCATTAACTTGTATGATATTTGTATCTATCTTGTCGATGACTGCAGTAGTTCGGTTCAAGTCGGTCTGGTCTACATTGTCTTTTCGATTTTCCGTTTTAGTCATTCTTATGTCAATGCCATGCAATTCACATGACGCTAAACAACAAATGCTCACATAGTGCCGAAGACATCCAGCATATTGTGGTAATTCTGCACAGTTGTCTAAAATCGTTGAGTTTGAACGCAATTATCGTTCGGACGATGCTATCCGTTGGTATACAAAGAACTCATTTTTGCACACCATTGTTAACGAAGCTTTACGTACTGAAGTTCCTCGAGCTCTATATATTTACCGTTACTTTATTATTGATTTATGCAAGCGTTTAGAGGAGACTACAGTACTTACAAAGAAATCAACAAAGATTATCATTTCGTGTCTATCGTGGTTCAAACCTTCATCGAGATAAGGTGGAAAATTGTGTGTCAGCACCCTGGTAGGAACAAACGGATTTTTCTCTTCATCACTTTGACCAGAAGTTGCTAAAATGTTCATCGGGGTTGATCCAAATACAGGCGCATCAGAGTATCGAAGTCGTATGGATAGATAGCAGTTTGTACTATTCGCCCCATGGGTAAATACCAGGACGCTATCGAATACTTTTGCTATGCTAAGCTGCTACAAAAGCGTCTACCTTCAGAATCACGTTACGACTATGTTCTTACGTTATCTAATCTTGCGATTACCTTTTTTGAATTGAACGATACAGCAAAAGCTCTACGTCTTCATGAACAAGCCGTATCCCTTTTTCGTCGAACTTTGGGTCCGAGACATGCAAACATTCCAGTGTATTACATTCGACTAGCTCATGTCTACTGGCAAAAGAAATGTTATGATGATGCACATACCATGCTTTTGGTAGCGCTATCGATTTTTGAAGAAAAAGAACCTTCCAATTGTAGTGGTCTTGCCAAAACGAAACATACGATAGATGTAGTCATGTATGCTTTAGGTCAATCGCAAGAGGCAATAAATTGTCTCAAAGAAGCACTCAAAATGCGTCGAAGATTGCTCTCTGACGTTCATCCACTTGTTGCTCGTACATGCTACGATCTCGTTCTCGTATACATCGAAACAGGAGATGAGCAAAAGGCACTTAAGTATGCTCAAATAGCGTTGACCATTCATCAGACAAAACTACCGAAAAACCACGTTCATTTGAAAGAATCTATTGAGCTGATGGATCGATTTCTTTTATCTCAACGGATAGCTACTCCAATGAACTGTAACTTCACTAATATTGATCAGTGAAATATATGCCTTTTCTACTCTTACTGCAGAAAGACCTTAGTTTTGACAGCAATGTGACATGTTAAAAGTGTAAAATGTAAGACATTAAGCCTGACAAATGCGAAGTTCGACGAAAATTCCTACTCTCTTATCATTCTTCGTTATATCTGGTATTCATAGTGGTGTGGGTGGGTGCGGGTTTTGGTGTAAGTTTAGATCAGAAGAAAACTAGCATAGACAGCTATCCCACCCACACCCACATCCCCATCTTGTTAGTACAGTATTTCCAGGTTTATATGAAGGAAAAGTAACAATCGTTTATAATCTCATTAATTAGAACCTGACGAAATATTAGTTTGTACACCTACAAACCCAGAATAGACACAATTGTTTCCTATTATTGACGCGTTAGTATCAGAAATTGGTTGTTGACTTTGATGAGGCACGAGGATTCAAACTGCGAGATCGACACGTTTTTTTTCCAGTTCCCATGAATAGTTTAACACACCATTTTTATCATTCCATTTTTTTTCTTTATTTCAAAAGTGATTGTTTTATAAGATAAAAAAAACTTGAAAATTTTAAGTGCAACTAATTCCAAATATACTACCGCTTTTACAGCTGCCTCCCATTTTTCGACAAGCAGCAACAGTGCAGGAATCACAGTTGGCCATTAACTGTGATGGATTACTGTATTCAGACCAGTTCAAACATTCACATTTACAGATAACATAAGTACTATTTAATTGACGAACATTAGCCATCATCATCTTTGTTGTCGTGATTGATAAGAAGACCATAATCAATAATAGACATGATAATAGATTGCACTTCATGTTTAATTCTTTGTCGTAAATTGAATAAATTGTATTAAGAGATAAAATATTCTGAGAGTGAAAAACATAATATTTTTTTCTGAGTAGTTATATTTTCTATGTGTGAGAATGGGAGCAGAAGGCAATTCTAAAACAAATAGCATTACTCAACCCACATAGATAGAGTATAATTTTACTTTTTATCGTTCTTGGAGTGGGCACAGTTTACTTCAATCAGTATTCTACTTCAAAAGCTGAAAAAGGAAGATATATGTAAGCATTACAGGTGTGAGGTGTGAGTGCGAGTGTGAGGTGTGGGTGTGTGGATGTGGGCGTGAATAGAAGACTTCGACCCTTACCCACACCCACCTATACCCACACACCCACACCCCACACCCACCCACACCTGAGGGTGTGGGTGTAGGTGTAGGTGGGTGTGGGTAAGGGTCGAAGTCTTCTATTCACACCCACACCC